GCTAGTGATATATACAGTGTAGTGTTAGGTGAAGAACCTAAGAAGGGCTAGAAAACTGCATGATATACAAAGCCAGCTGGCTGCAGACAACAGACCAAAAAGCTAGCCTGAGAACTGCAACAAAGGATGATAACAAGTTAGAGGCAAAGCTAAGAAAACAGGATGGCAGTAATCCCGTAGTGGTTTCTTGTCTAACAGTTAATCAAACTGCCAGGACCCTCTGGCCTACATCAAAAGCAGAACCCCAGTAATCTGTAACCTTATGCTAATCTGAGCAGTTTAGTAGCCCACAGTTATATGGTATATGGCATATACTAACTACTCAAGCGTTTACCCATCCTCTTAGACAGGTTTTGTGTCCCAGAAAGGCCCCACATTTGTCACGACTAGAAATGAAGTTCTCCCAATTAGACATCCCAGAGTTTTATGTTCTTGCTACAGTAAAGATACAACAAGTAACTATGGTGCAGATAATAATTACTGAGACTTTTATACTTCCCATGGCTTCTGTTACAGCCTGTATTCCACAGTCTGTTAGGAAACAACCCTTCCTTCCAGAGCAACACAATCTATATCACTTCCTCTTCTTTGGAGAACCTTCTGCAAGAAACACATTGCCCTACTGCAATGAGCCAGTAAGTAATAACTACTTAAAATTGTATGCCTGCTGTTTGGATGGCTGTGATATTTCTTCATTGAGATTTGCTGCTCTTCCAGGGTAGGGCATGTATGTGGAATACAATTCAATGGGTTACCATACCATGAAGTTACATTCTTTGCCTGAGCTGAACTAAGTTTAACCAAAGAGAGACCATGTCCACCTTTTTGCCCAGGCCTATAGCTCTGTTTCTCTTTGCACCAGCCCTAATGTTCATTCAACCTAGTACAGTGCTAATCTAGCTCATTAATCCAAAAGAAAATTATCGACTTTTCTAACAAATAAATATATTGCTGGAGAGATAATAAGCCCTAAGAGTTCAAGTGGATGGAGAATCTTCCCTTTCAACAGCAAATAGAATAGATTTGCTCAATATGGAACACACAACTCTCTCCACAGGCTAATCCATACCTGCACACGACCCACTCTGCCAAATGTTGCTAATACTAAATGATATCCTCATTTCTTTATTGACACATCCCACCTTGTTGCAGCTTCTTCATTACGAAAGCTTTTCTCCTGGTGTGAATTTTTATGGTAAGCATTTCTATCCTGTACTAAAGGGGGGGGGGGGGAAGGATAATGTATTAACATCACATGAGGATGATTTATTATTTTCCTACCCATTGACACCTATTGAGAATGAAAATGGCACTGCTGTTTTTTCAACAATCGCCATAGCATTTAGGCATCCAAAGGTCCTAAAAGAGTAGGAGACATTCGGCCTTTAAGCGCTAATTTGGAATAGCTTTCCACACAGTCCAAAATTTAAAGGGCTAAAGGAAACCTCCAGTTATCTTGAGAATCAAAAAACACCAAATGAGCCAGATGACAACAGATCTGAGTACGGCATGTAAACACAGACTAAACAGTGGTGCGATGTGTGATTCAATCAAGAAGGAGTTAAGGAAGAGGAATATTACGAAAGCAAGTCCACGCAGCTTTATGGAAACAAGTCTTGACAAGCAGACCTGACTTCACTTTCTGATGAGATTACAAGTTTGTTTGATCAAGGTAACCACATAGATGTGATATACTTGGACTTTCCTAATAAATTCAATTTAGTACTGCTTGACATTTTGATTAAAACATTAGCATTATATAGCCTTAATAAAACACATTAAATAGATTAGGATCTGGCTAATTGATAGAGTTCAGCAAGCTGTTCTAACCAGATACTCAAAGCTGACTGGGGATATTTTTAGTGGGGTTCTGCAGACAGGAACACCATGCTTGCTGCCATTTGTTGCTCTCCTCTAGTGTCTGGAATTACACAGAAACACATAAGATACTGGCAAATGTCCCTAAGTTTAAAGAGAAATGGCCAGTTATTGAAAGTCACAGTTTTGACTGCATGGTCATAAATGGGTTTCCATATTTCACAATGTCCTTTCTCTTCAGTTATGCAAAAGCTTGGAGGTTCTCTTACAGCTATAGTTGAAAGGCTGTGATCTAGTCAACTGCTGGTGAGAAAATAGTACCACTGAAGGGGCACAGATTTTAACTACTAATTCACATTTAAAGAGTAGTAGGAATCAAACCCAACAACAACAAACAAGGTGCAAACAGTGAAACCAGAAGCTACCTGTGAATGATTTTTAAAAGGCAAGGAGTCGAACTGCACACCTCTGCACCATGTCTTTATTTAAACCACCAACAGTATAAACCAGAGATTAAAATTTGTTTGCAGCTTAATAAAGTCACAAATTCTAGCCTGTTGGTTAAATATGCTATCAAAACATAAAACAAAAAAGCCAGGAAGGGAAAGCAAAAATACACCAAAGAGAACTTTGACCCGCACATTATGATTGATGAAAGAAATACTGTGAAGAAAACACTGCAGGATACACTCTCTTCTTGTACTATCTGAAACACAGATTGCACTGGGATGTCTTATTTCATTTGTTATTTGCTAAATAAACATCTAAAATCTTTCCACGTTTTCACCATTATATAAACCTCCTGTTAATACTCTTGGTGTCAGAGCTGTCCACCCTCAGAAGCACCCTACTAATCATCATCTCAACACAGTGCAAACCAGCAATTGCATGCTCCACCAGACTATAGCTTTTTTGTTTTCAGCTAGAGAAAAAGCAAATGTTTTCTTCTCTGCCAAACCAAAATTGTTCTTTTTTTTTTTTTAACACCAGAGCTCCAGAGCTCCACGTAGGCCATTCAGTGGGACTCCTTTCTACAAACACTGTCAGAGTAGCTAAGTTTCCCTATGTTCAGCTCCGTCCTGTCTCCCTTTGCACCACTCCCCAAACTGCCTTTCCAAGAAGCCCGTCTCTGCCTCTGCATTTGTGTCCAGCTTACAGCAAAATATTCAAAAAGGAATTCCATGCTTTATCTGCACCAGTGAACTGAAGAACTTTTCACTGTGTTTTTGAACAGGACGCCTTGATGTTTTGCTATAGCAAAACCATTTTTTTGCCTACAAGTTTGTTTTTTTAACTGCGCATTGGCAGTGGGAGGTTCCTAACCTTTTTCGATACTCTGAGATAGTATCTAATCACCAATACCCAGATCTTAATAACTGTTCCTCGAAAGGCAGATGTTGATATTCCAAGAATGTATGTATCCTCTTCCATTTCCAAAGACATTTTATCATTCTTCTAATTTTATTTCTCACTTTTTCTTACTTAAAGCTATTAATCTTATCTGGTTTTCTTGCTCTAGCACTCACTGACTTCCAGGCTATTATCCTTTCTCAAAGTCTGTCCGTGACATTGTTTTTCTTCATCCTAGATACTTCAATTTAAACCTTTTCTTTCCCTTTCATATTTACAATTCATGTTGGTACCTTTCTTTTGTCTTCTGTTAGGTTTTTTTCCTCCTCAGATGTACTGCCTGCAGTGAACACAAAGAAGTAGGACATGGCATTCTTCAAACAGCTTAAACTGTTTTGACTTCTCCTTATTCTCCAAAACCCTGCATTTATGTCTTTACAGATTTGCTAACTTAGTGCCATCCTCTTTTTCATTCTGTCTCCTGGTCATAGCCATTACATATCTTGTTTCCCATACCAAGTCCTGTTCCTTTTTCTGGCTACTGAAACCTTTCCAGTTTCATTAGCAACGCATCATTTATTTTTCATCTGGCCATAAGTCAAGCTTTATTCTTTGAACTTCACTTTTTATCATTCGGATGAGGAGTACTAAAATCACAGAATCGTATGAAACCATAAATCATCAAATAATCATACAACCTTTTGGAACACAGATGAGTTGAAAAACAAAAGCGTGGAGCTCAGCGTTATGAAGCTGATGTAAAAACTTCTTGCCTTGCTACACGGAGCTGTAGGACTTACCAGCCAAAAAAATATATTAGGCATGGTAATGAGCAGTGAAATTATAAAGCACCCCTGAAGAAACTGCAATGTGACCAAGATGAATCACTTCTACGGTTTTATTATACAAGGGATGCTATATATTTAGTACCGCACATAATAAGTTTTTTACAGTCAGCTCTGGGTTTCCAACTACATTGCCAGTGCCATGTCATGAGTCACCGGTAATCGCCGACTCGTTTGTTCCCGACCCCAATACCCTTTCATAGAACGTGCAGGGTAACATTTCCCCCACATCACATCTGGGAGCCAACAGCAACACCCACTGCACCCACAGGCCCACCCCTCACCGCCCCGCTCTCAAAGCACCCCCAGCGGCAGACGACGCCGTCCCGAGAGTGCCCCGCTGCCCCGGCCCTCAGGCCAGTGCCGTACGGCCTCCGACCCCTCATTGCCGCCTGAGCCCAGCGCGCTCGGGACAGCGCCAAACGCCGCATTGGGGCGGGGCGTCGCGGAGGTTAGAAGCCTTTCCAGTTGGTGAGAGCGCCTGCTCATCTTGACAGTGCACCCAATCAGGTGCGGCGGAGCTCTGCCTCGCCATCCCTCTCCCTCAGCTGCTGTTCCCGCCCGCTCGGTTTGGCGATCCGCTTATTGGTCCGTTCGTCCAGCCGACCGACTGCCGAGCCAATTAGAGCAGCTGTCAATCACGAGCCGCTGTCAATCACGATCCTTTTGCCCCGCCCCGTCACTCTCTTCAGGCGGGGTAGGGGAGGGCGGGGCGGGGTGTGAGGGGAGGAGGGGTCGGTGTGGGGGCTGTGGTCGGGTGCGTAGGCTTCGTTCCGTCCGGCACAGGCTTGGTGAGGGGGCAGCGAACGAGGCTGTCCCGTCGTTTCAGGACGGCCGCCGCCCGTCGTTCGCTGGCGAGGAAGGCGATAGGCTCCCAGTGGCTGCGCATCCTCCGCGGGGAGAGGAGGGACCGGGGCGGCTCCAGCAGCGGGAGGAGGGCGGGAGCAGCAGGGAGAAGCGGTCCGCCCAGCTCCCGGAGGAGACAGTTCTCACAGAAGGGGTGTCGAGGGGAAGCGGGGTTGGGTGCAGTCGCTCTTTTTGTAGCGCTGTCGAAACAGCCGAGCACCAAGGGCGAGAGGAAGAGAGGGATGGACTCCGCTCCGTCAGATGCCGGCTTGAATTCTCCATTGACTTGTCGCTGATAGCCCGCTGCCAGATGTGGGTGTCTGGGTGGACCTCGTTCTGTCGCTCCGTATCTGAGCGTAAAGCTTAGTTCTGCTGCTTGTGGATCTTTTATTGTTATTGCCCGAAAGGACCCATCCCGCTAGCGTGACAAAATGAAGCCTTTGTATTTTTCAGTCAATTATACCTAATACCGATTAGTCGGTTTGGTACAAGGGGCTGAAGCGCTGCCTCGCTCGGAGGACCGTCAGGGACTCTCGCTACATGTAGCTGGATGTGTGGCGGCACATCCTATCGCCTTCCCCACGCCTTCCTCCTCGAGCTTTTTCCAAAATGAAGAAATTCAATTTTCGCAAAGTTCTGGATGGTCTGACCGCCTCCTCGCCCGGTGGCAGCGCTGGCGGTGGTGGGGCTGGCGGAGGCTCCGCGCATCCCGGTGGGACTGCGGGCGCCGCGGGAACTCCTCGGGAGGAGATCCAGGAAACGCTAACTTCGGATTATTTCCAGATCTGTAAGGTAAGGGCAGGGGATCCCTTCGGGTAGCGGTAAGGAAAGCTGCGTAGCTCAAGGGGTTTGGGGGGGGAGGGGGGAGGAAGGAAGGGAGGGAGAAATGGGATGCCAGTGAGCTGTTTTACCTGAGAACTGCAGTGATTGTATAAGGACTTTGTACTGAAAGGCAGTGATGTCTGTGGTGGTGGTTGAGTAGCAGTATGTTCATTGAAATCTGGTTTCGGGGGCAAATCCAGAATACACACTTGGTCTCCGAACTAGCAGCGAGATTGTGGACAAAGAGCTAATCAAGTGGTACCAATATAAATAACAAGCCATCAGACATTCAAAATTGTCTATCTGTACTCCCCCTCCTCCCATTGCTCAGGTTAGAAAAGACCTTAAAGATCATCGAGTCCAACCGCAACCTAACCATAGTACCCTCCTCTCCTCCTTCTCCATAAGGAAAAAGGCACAAGCTAGAAACAAAAGATGGCACAGTGAATGCTGAACATAGCACTTTTGTTATTTGCGAGGGGTTGGGTGTGTGTTTAGGGTTTGTTTGTTTGTTTGTTTGTTTAGCATTGGTGCTGAGGATTGTGATTTTATGACAGTAAACTTAATGGACCGGCATAAACGTTGAAAGTTTCCAAATTTGTTTGGTATTGGCTTTTACGTATTGGTTAGATCTTTCCGTGGGAATTTTCTCCAAGTAGTAAGCATAAAATATCTCTATGGGTTTTTTTTTTTTTTTTTTTTTTTTTTTTTAATGTCTGTTTTGTGCAAAAGAGCTCTCAGTGCACGATGAAATCAGTAGAAATGACTTGGTATTTCTGACCAGCTCTGGAGTTCTAAGTAGTACTTTGGTAATGAAGTACAAAAAAAAAAAAAAAAGATATTGTATTTTTATCCTCCAGTCCTATGCTTTTATCTTTAACTTTGACATTAATTGTGTTGACTTTACTAAAGTCCTGTTTGTGTATCCATTAGGACCTGCAAAAACAGAATTTTTAGCTAGTGCAGTTTATGTTATTACAAGAGCTTCACCTATTAAGTGTGCTTTCATTAGTCAGATACCAACTGAGTTGAAATTTAGGTTATAGCCCACTTCAGCACATCCCAGTATTTAAGGAAGAAGGATGAAATATAAGCAAGTAAGGCAAAACTGTAGGAGAGTGTGTAGATCTGTCCCAGTGCAATATACAGCTTTCATAATAGCAGATGTGATGATTTTATTCTGTTCTCAGACGCAGTGAGAGTTAAAACTCATACAGAGTTCAGGTGAAGAAAGATGAGCTCCTATCACTTAGAACAGTCAGAGAGACCTTTTGAATAGGTTCTATACCATGGGGTGTCCTGATTAATTAATTAATTAATCTGCTGTTTAACAGTGCTAATTTATTACAGTTGTGCCTGTTTACACCGGGGCTCAATTTGACACCGTTTGCTTATGCATCCAGTATTACAACAGTTTATGACATTCAAGATATCCAGAATAGTGATTTTCCACTTTGTCCCTTCAGTAGAAAAATGATGTAAATAACCCAGTTACGTTGATATATCTTTAGGTCTGACATTCTGAGAATTCTGAGTAAGGCTAAGACTCAACATAATTCTTCCTTTGATAATGCCAAGGGATTTGTGTTTCATGTGATAGATGTGTGGCATATTTGCCAAAATATACAATAAATCTTTCATAAACAAAATCAATTAATTCTCTTTGTATTTCCCACCTTTAGCTTGATATTTCTTGCAGGCAGTTTTGTTAGGTTTTGACAGATCTCCTTAGAAATGTGGGTGCCTGGGAATACAGCACTTCTAGAAGATTTCAGTGGGCAATGTTTGCCTCTCTTTTTTATTCAGTTTGGAGATGTAGCTGTCAGGTTGAAATGCTTTCAGCAAAGTAAATATTTGTATGGGAGCGCTTTTGGTTGCAGCAGCGCTTGCTTATGAATGCGTGGTACTGCAGAAGTCCACTCTATGGTATACAAAGCATTGGTTTCCTTTTTTCAAGGTACAAAAGCATCCTAAAAGCAAACTTCCCCAAATAATCTCTGATTATGAGCTAAGGAAATACTGCAAGGTTTAGTCAGCAGGCTCTACTTAATGAGCTGTGTTGCTGTTTAGTAACAGTGCAAGCATGTCTGAGTGAACTGACAAAAACTCACAGGCCCCAGTCCTGCATTATGTACTGTGCAAGTGTACCAAAGTGGGACTGAATGCAGGCACATACGGTACTACAGGGTGCGCAGTCTGAGCTGTAATTTGTACCTTAGTGGATAGGTATAACATTAAGAATACTGCAAAACATGCACGTCGTCCAAGCTTTACCTTCCCAAAGCTTTTGTGGCGTAGAACTTCTGATTTTTCAGTTGTCTATTTTCATGTTAAGTTACATAAGTAATACAGGCTGCAGTTTAAGGACCCAGGCTCTGTGATCCTGCTGCACACAAAACTGAGGGAAGCTACTGGCACTACTTGTTTGTTATGATCTGCACAATCATGATAGATGGATTCTGCTTGGAGTAACACCCCAAACCAATTTTTTCTTTCTTTCCTGATTATTAAATCTTCATTTAGATAAGTAGTGTAAAAGCTGACTCATACATTAATGATGAAAGGGCCTTACACTGCATTCTTTACTTAAATAAATTGCCTTTGTGAAGTTTGTAGGAGGTCTTCTTGACTAAAAACACTGATCTGAATCCTCTAGCAGCAGACTGATTTCATTGGTAATGTATGTTTTATTAGTAATACACCTGAAAGCTGTCTCTGTTTTTGACATTTTTGAGATACTAATTACTATGGTGTCTTTTTAAGATAAAATGAAATCTTTATAGAAGCATACTGAATATTTCATTTTATACTGAGATGTTTACAATGAATTACTTTTGCCATTTATGTTTGAATCATTAATGTAATCTTATGTATTGACAGAATATAAATGAAATATTCGTGAAACTATTGCATGTGAAATAGCTGCAGACTTTTTAAAGCGTCATAAACTTAAGTGTTGGTACTTGTAGTAGTGAATCATTGCCATCTTTCTGGAAGTACTCATCTAATATGAAATTTTGGCAGAACTGTATTTTGTGACAACTGGAAGCTGAGGTGTAGGTCATCTTGTATCTAAGGCTTTTCTTGGGTATCCACGTGGTAAAAATACTGATTATGATTCAAATTAATTGAATGTGTGAGATGGGAGAGTCATGCCAAAAACTAGATGCAATCCAACAGAATGTTAGTAAAGTTTGCATTAATTTCAAGGGTGGTGAACTGAGCTTCTTCATTTCTTATTAAGATCTGTTATCGAGGATTTTTTGAGCCATCCTGTATTTGTTTATGGCTCATAGAAATCAAAATACGGCAGCAGGAAGAGATCTCATATTAATACAGGAATCGGGGTCAATTAGGATGTTGTAAATCATTTAAGTAGAGCTTTGAGAGAGGGGACGTAAATGGTGAAAAGAGTGATTTTCTTACTTTTGTAGGGGGTGAATTACAAAGTGGTACCGAAGGTTGGGGAAAGCTGACTAAACATGAAGATGCAGATTTTGAGAACACATGGTGTGTATCTTTATGAAAATGAGTCTCCTGTAAGGAACTACTGAGGAGCTGTTCCTCAAAAGCAGTCATAGAGTTGAATTTGTAAAGCAAGATGTTATTACTTTTATGCAGAGTGTGCTTGAAACCAAGATCTCCGTAACTAGGTAAGAAGAGTTGTGCTTGACTAGACCTACAGCCTATTCTAGTGTATTTTCTTTGACTGTTTGCAGCAGCCAGATACTCCAGAAAAGATTTTAGAACCTCTAAGTTGAACTTGTCACTGAATTATTACCCAAACTCTAATGTGGTTGTGACTGCCTTTGGCTCCAGTCAGTAGCCAAATTTCAAAGACAGCTTCACTTTTTCAGTCTGCCACTCGCATTTCACTCCTCTGGGATAATGGCTGTAATAGAGACCCGTCCAGTTTTGATGAACTTCTCTATTATGTTGCCTTGTGATATTACATAAAGACATTTTATTGAGATATTTCAGTTTATCATGCAAATTTACACACATTATTTATCTGGATTTCCTACAACAGGGTCTTAAATTTTAATTCATCGTTTTAGATATGGTAATACTCCATTTTGACAGTCCATGAAGACGAACATGTAGTCCTTTTGGTAGCAGTCAAGTAGATATTTTAACTGGAGGTGCAGCATGAATATGCATTTCAGTGTCAATAGAAATAAGGTGAATTTCCAAATGGCAGTTTAAGAACAATTGTGCAGTAGCACGCAGCTGTGTTTTTGCTTATAGAGGATAAAAGTTCTTTGTTACAACCTGTCTGTAACGTTTAGTTAGCATGAGCCATTTGGTTAATCTGTGTTGTCTCATTAAGGTCACTCAGGGCCAAAAAAAAATACCTGTGTGAAGCTTTACGTTTCAGAGCAAACCCACTTTAAATTAAGCCTTAAACCTTACTTGTAAGTGCTCAGTTCATTCTGTGGTAAATACAATATGACGTTGAGAAGGATTTTTCACACATGCTGTATTTTGGATAGAACATAAAATTTAAACTGTAGATTCCCAGTCACAGAACCACATAATTTTAAGGATTGGAAAGGAGCTCTGTAGATCACCTAATCCAGTCCTTGCGAAAGCAGATTCCCAGAGTGGGTTGTGCATGAAAATGTCCAGGCAGGTTTTGAATATCTCCAGAGAAGGAGACTCTGCAACATCTCTGGGTGTAAGTGCTATAAGTGACGTTTCTGTAATTAGATGTCAGTAATCTTATTAAATGTGTGATGATTGTAAAGTATTCTGCTTTTTAAAGCATTTGTAGTTATTTGAAATAGGGCTCATCAGCAGTAAAGAGCACAGCATATTGGAAGCTTCTTTTTAGGGAAACTTGAGGATATTAAGCTACCTACAGTAGTACACCTGGACAGTTGTTTTGTTTCTTTCAAACAATGTGTCTTCATTTTCTGCATTCCTTTATTTGATCATTAGTCAAATACTAATCCTGAATGCATTAATGC